TATGTCATTTCCGGTTGTGGGGAGTATCTCAAATGATAGAATAGCTAGTGAACGGAAATCCTCGTATTGCAATTTTCGTAGTCGAGTGTGTACAAGCTAATTTGATCAAACATCTCTGATCATTTTAAAACAAAGCGGTCCTTTTCAGGACCAAATGATCACTTTAATAAAGGGCCCTTTTCAGAGCCAAATGTTCAATCTGATGAAAAAAATCAAACTAATTCGGATATTTCTACGGATATGATTACATCAAACAAGTTTCCATGCGGACGTGGGAAATTCTTTTTTTCCAAATTTAATTTGAAAAGGCATGTAATAAAATGCCATCCAACGGATGAACACATATTGCAGTCTCTAAATTTAAAAGTATGTGAAACATCCAAACTCAAAATATGTGACTCTAGTTGTAATGGTGATCACATTTCAACTAAGAGACAGTATAAATGTCCTTTGTGTAAAGGGGATTTTGAAAATGAGTTGATAAATGAACACTTTTTACAAGTTCATGATGTAAAACTTGAAACATCAGAATTAAAATTTGAATCCTATGAAAGTTTTCTTGAATGGAAAGATGATTTAGAAAATAAAGTCGAAATTTATAATACATGTATCTGAAAACCAAATGCCACTGGTACAGTTACATATTTTACATGTCACCGTTCAGGGCATTTTCATTCACAGAGTTCTGGAAAGCGACACATAAAGCTACTGGGCAGTAAAAAAATTAATGCTTATTGTCCTGCGAAAATAAAATTGGTCAAATCAAAACGAGAGGAATACTATGCATATTTCCAGAAAACACATGTAGGCCATGAAAATGATATGGGTCATCTTTTCCTTTCAAGTAAGGATAGAACCTTTATTGCATCAAAAATAGCTGCTAAAGTACCATTTGATGCAATTTTGGATGAAATTCACGATTCCATATCTGATTCTGGCCTCGAACGATTGCATCTAATAACAAAAAAGATCTGCAAAACATTGAACGAAGTTTTGAGTTAGCTTCCAGTGCAGTAAAGCATAGTAATGGTGTTGGTGTATTTAATTATGGCAAAGCACACGAGGGCTATCTGCCTAAGGGAAGGGATGCCTTTGTGGAGGACTTTCTAAGGGAAACTGGCTCGTATACACACGTTACACATGGGGAAAACAGGAAAACCACGAAAACGCCCATGCAGCCAGCTCATTCGCGGGATTCGAACCTCGGACCGAACTACCAGTGTTCAGCGACTTTACTGCTCGACCGCTGGTCGGCTAAAGCATAGTAATGACTATGTGAGGGTTGACATGTGGGTGAATGAAATGCTTAGTTCACAGATTTCATGCGTGTTATATTATAAGGCACAAGGTGTAATATCCCCAACACATACATTCCTTAACGATGAAGATTTTATTCTCATCATAATGACAAATATGATGACAATAATCACAAAGTGAAATGCTAAAAAAATTTAGTTCAGACTGCATACAGTTAGCTACAAAAGTCTGTGTACAGACTAAATTTTAAATTAAAAAAAACACTTAAAGCATAGAAAAATGTTTTTTAATCATTGCATATTTTTCTTCTATTAGCTAAAATTGTAAGCTTAAATAAAAAGTAAATAATATCAGTGTAATACTTTTTAAATTTTTTCAAAAAACTCAGAAATTCCATCCAATAAGTCTGCGTACACTTTCAAAAAAAAAAAAAAAAAAAGTAAAATATAAGTTTTTTACATTACTTCAATACTTTGTAGGATATCCTTTATTCTTCAAAACAGCCTGCAGATGTCTGGGCATTGACTGAACTAGTTTTTAAGTGTCATCCGACATAAATTTCGCCCATTCTTTCTGCAATTTACTAATTAGCTCATTTCGCGATGTAATATTGTGTTTTCGAATTCGTTTCTCCAATTTTGCCCACAAATGTTCGATTGGATTGAGGTCTGGTGACTGTGGAGGAGTACGCAATTGTCTTGGAGTGTGATAGAGGAGATATTCCTTCACAATTTTAGCTCTATGTTTCGGGTCGTTGTCTTGTTGGAAAATAAAGGTATTAGAAAGGTTTAAATTTCGGGCACTGTCTCGTAGATTTTTCTTCAGAATATCCAGATAAACATACTTATCCATGACTTTATCAATAATGTGAAAATTTCCATCTCCTTTCGACGACATACACCCCCATACCATTACACCGCCAGCTCCATGTTTGACAGTTGGATTTAAATTTCTCAGATTCAGTTCTGTTCCTGGTTTTCTCCATACAATAGGGTGGCCATTAACTTTAAATATTGTAAATTTACTTTCATCTGACCAAATTACATTGTTCTAGAAGTCCTGCGAAGAGTTTAAATATGTTTTGGCAAAAGCAATTCTTTTCTTTCTATTTGTCTCGGAAATGTATGGCTTAGACCTAGGTTTGCGTCCATGATAATCGGCCTTTGGCAGCACTTTTCGTACAGTTTCAGGAGAAATTTCCTTGTTGCTAGTTAGTTAAAAAAATGTCTTTTGCAATGCTTGCAGCAGAAAGTTTAGGATTTTGTTTAATTCGTAAAAGAATTTTTCTTTTTTCCCTCTGCGTTAGCTTCTTCGGTCTCCCACATCTTGGTTTTACAGCAAGACTATCAGTGTCAAGATAGTTTTGAATAACTCTTTGCCCACTAGAAAATGGTTTTCCAATGGTTTTACCAATATAACGAAGAGTTTTATCTTCATCTCTCAATTTGATAATTAGTTGTCTCGTAACTAAAGGAATTTCTTTATTGGTTGTCATTTTCGTCAAAGAAAATAGAAATAACAACTTCCAATCAACGTGAAATTTGCTTCGGAAGTCAATGACCTTGAAAGTGTAACCTTCTTTGCATTCTCAAGTTTGAAGTTTAAAAGTTAGATAAGAAATACCCCGCCTCCTTCGCGTTGTACGCAAACTTTATTGGCTTTGATTTCTGACCACTTATCTTTTAAAAATTTAGTGTGCATAAATTATTAGATATGAAAATATTACAGTTAAATAATTTCAAAGTCCCTTATTGAAACTAAATATTAAAAAAAAAAACTTTAAGAAACTACCCTTTTCGCACCATAAATTTGGATTTGATATTACTTTTCTTGATGTACGCAGACTTTATTGACTAACTGTATGTATAGATGGCACTCATGGCATGAATGCATATGGCTTTGAGCTTATAGTTTTATTAACTGTCAACAATTTAAGAGAAGGATTTCCTTGTGCATTTTTAATTTCGAATCGAAGTGACCAACCAGTTTTGTCTATATTCTTCTCAATAATCAAGCAAAGCATTGGCACATTACAACCAAAAGTTTTCATGTCAGATATGGCTGATTCTTTTTTTAATGTATAGGTTTCAGAGATGGAAAACGCCTCTTTTGTGCATGGCATGTTGACCGTGCATGGCGAAAGAATTTAAAAAAAATCAGTGGTAGAGAAAAACAAGCCCAAGAGTATCAAGTTCTCCGCACTTCTTTACAAGAATGTGTATACAGAGTTTTAATACTGCAGCAGAAGCTGTGTTAAATTACTTGAAAACTGATCCCGATACACTTGATTTTGCTAATTATTTTTTGACACATTATTTAAAAGATGCAACTACTTGGGCTTATTGTCACAGAGTTCATTGTGGATTAAATACAAATATACATATTGAAAGAATGCATCGAACATTAAAGTACATATATTTATTTACATGGAAAAAATGTTAAAAGATTTGATAAGGCTGTGCATGCAATTATGAAATTTATGATTCTGGGTTTTTTTTTTTATAGATTGCACGCACGGTTCAGTTAATGTTGATGATTGCATTGTTCCATCGAATTGCATGCTTTGCAGACTGTGCATTTTATAAAAGTGCTTAAACTTTGGCATCTAAAGCTAAAGTATGTTTTGAAATCCGAAATCTGTTTAAAATCAAGTTGAAGCAAATTTCAGCGCAGAGTTTTTAAAAATTCCTTACCAAATGTGTATTTCATCTCGATAGAGATTTAAAACAAGTTCCTCGTCAATTCGCTTCCGATAGCGAAGAAAAGTGACAGAGTTATTGAAAACAAAAAAATTTCGAGTAGTCGGTGTTCTTGACACAGCAATTATAACTTGAACGGCGGAACTTTGTAACTGAACAAGTATTCAAGTATTATTGAAACGAAGCAAAACTTAAACAACTTACAATGTTTAATAAAGTAAACAAATAAAATTAAGTTTTGCAAATTTTGATACCCTTTAGACATAATTGTTCTTTATTTCATAAATTAGAATTTTAGAATTTCTGCATGCCATCTTACGAGATTTAAACTTGACTATATTGATAATGAATCGCCGAAACGAGTGATTAACGACTTTTGACTGTATTTGGTTTCGAGGGCCGTAAAAAAATTGCTATGAAAATGTATGCGCGAAAGCGCCAAATCTAGCAAACACGCCCATTTAACAGCGTGCCAAATCTCACGTACGCGCTGATTTCAGATTGCGTAAGTTTATATAGTTCTGTACTTCTTAAGACGCCATTGAAATAATGGTTTAATTTTTAATTCCTTTTTTAATATCCTATGGATTTAACAATTTGGGAATTGCCTATGATGAAAAGTCTGCGATAGAATTTTGGGTAAAGTGCAGAATCACCCACTGCTTGACGCGTTTTAAGAATTGCACATACTCAGTATCCATGTACACATCGACTTATTTTCACTTTAAAAAAATTCCCAGAATTGCACAAAAATGGCACTGCGCACACCCTTGACCCTATGTACACATCGACATATTGTCACTTAAAAAGTAAAAGAAAATTGACAAAATTCCAATTGTTTTTACCCTTGTAAAAGGCGGCAAAGAAATAAGCGGGCGATTCTGCATTTTACCGAAAATGTTTTGAAAGAAAAGGCATCATTCATCATAGAAAATTATGTTTGAACAACCAACGAGATGACATTATGCTTTAGCGATAACTCGGTAGCGAAATATTATATGAAATTAACCTTTCATCTAAATTAAAACATCAATATTTAAATAGTTATTTACTATTAAACTTCCTTTCTTACGTTAGGGTTGCCGCAATAGCTTTTGGCAGCACTGGCATCAACAATAGTTTGGCAATTTTTTACGGCCCTCGAAACCGAATAGTACCGAAATTTATTAGGGATAAAATGTTTGATAGAATCATTACATCAAATAAAGAAAAATTGACAAGTAAAATTAGAGACTTGAGAAACAGATATAAAACCAGCTTAACACTGTCATCACAAATTATACAAAATGAAAGTGGCTGGATTATTTCATCAGAAAACAATTTAGATTTGTATACCATACAAAAAGTGATCAGTGAGGGTAACTGTGAATTGAAGTGTACTGAATGTAATGTATGCATACACACATATATGTGCACATGTATAGATACTTCAATTAAGTGGAATATGTGTAAGCATATTCATTATTTATGCCAGATGCAGAAAAACAGTCCAGCAGATACAGTTCATGATTTCTGTAATGATCCTTCATTGATAATAGACGACACAAATGATATAGTAATACAGTCAAAAGTCGTTAATTCGGACACCCATAATTCGGAATGATCTATAATCCGGACATCAAAACTAAAAACTTTCTGCCATTTGACACATGCGCAGAGGCGTTCAGCATAAGACCTTTTACGACTGCGCATATGAGTGTGCGCAAGTGAATACGTTTTCGCGTGCGCATTTTATGTATAATGGACGTATAAGCTAAAATTATCTAATTATCTATTTCAGAATGTTGATAATTGCATTGTTCCTTAATTTTCGAATTGCATGCTATTATTTTTTGCAGACTGTGCAATTTTATAAAAGTAAGCTTAAATCGATTATACAAATAGAACATTTGTTAATATGTGATCACTAAAGTATGTGAAATGAAATCTGTTTATCAATTTCACGTAATGAATTGGAAGTTGATTTGTCAGCACTATCCTTATTCAGCGCAAGTTTTTATTTTATTTGGAATTCCTTACCAAATGTGTCGAAGCGATATGATTTAAAACAATTCATTATAATTTTATGCGAAGAAAAGTGACAGAGGTTATGTAAACAAAAAAATTTCGAGACAAATTAGTCGGTGTTCTTGACAACAATTATAGACTTGAACGGAACTTTGTCTGAACAAGAAATTATGCAGTATTATCACATGAAACAGCAAAACTTAAACAACTTACATTGAAAGAAATGTTTAATAAAGTAAACAAATAAATATTAAGCTTTTTCTGTGAATGATCCTTCATTCATAATACAACTGATGAATAATAATATAATGAATAATAGTAAAATAGTAAATGAATTAATGCAAAGTACATCACAAACTTTGACATTAGCAGAAAGAAAAATAGCACTGCTGAATAAATTTACAAGCTTACTAAACTCAATAACAACACCTAATGAAGTAACTAAAATGGAGAAAATTTATAAATCTGCAATAAATACGAGTATACCACACTTTGAACCTCCAACTGTAAACATACCAGCTAATAAAAAAATTGTACAGCAAAGAACCTTTAAACAAACAAAAAGAAGAAAAATAATGAAAAATTTAATTCGGACATCAGTACAAAATTTTCCTCTCACAGTTATGATAAATAACAAGACAAATATTCAGGGGCAACATTCTTCTTAAAATTTTCATTGTTTAAAAATTACATTATATTGAAAATTCATTTGATGACCTATGTCTTAGTAAAATTAACTTATATTAATTTTACTATTACTTTACATGTACAGGACTCTGGTATTTTTTTCTTTTTTTCTTATATTTAGAACTCATATTCAGTAAATTTCCAGCTATATACATTTTAAACAATTTTAGAGATTTTAAATGTTCTCACTCTGCGGGTAACTGTTTACACAATATGAATGAATTAACTACACAAACATCAAGGAAATGAAAAAAAATTCTGTGCCACCATTTGACACTTTTTCTCTCAGTCTGATATAGACATTTTTAAGTGGTCAAATTAATCAACATATCTCATATGATTATTATAGTTTGTGATACCTTAGAAATAACCATAAACCTACCAAAAAAATTTCAGAATATTAAACCGAAAGTACAAAATCACAATGGAACAAATGTTCGGAAAACATTTTCAATAGTCCTGTCCCCTAGTAGCAGTATTTCCTACATGCGTGATGGGACAAATTTGTCCCACCTTTTCATTTCAACCATTTTTAATTAATATATATATATGAATTCAAATAATACTTTTTATCTGCAAGAAAAAAAAAATATTCATTCTAATACCAAAAGTTGTCCAAATGATTTAAATTGCATAAGAAATTAAAACAAAAAATGCTTCAAAATTAGACCTGCAAAGAATTTTTTCCTACATGATTTCTATGAATTACTAGTGCCACCATCTGTTATATATTTAGGAAACTGAAAGGTATTATTGTATGTATTTTAAACAGAATTTTGCAGCTGTCATCTTGGAGATAAAAACTGATAAAAAAAGCCGTCCCGCCGCCCATCAAAGGGTTAAAGGCTTTATGGACCTCTTTTTTTTACCTTCTTATTTTAAAATTTTGATTTCAATGCTGTGTCCAAGAAATCAAACAGTAGCACACACACAACAAAAAAAAAAAAAAAAAAAAAAAAAAAAAGGAGTATGTGTGTATTGTAGAAAAAAAGAAATAGGTGGCACTGGATGCATTATTAAAATAGACACAAAAGTACTCAAATAAACATCTCTCTCCAAAGTTGGCAACAAATTTATAATTTTTGGTGGTGGTGGGGTGTGATAATTAGAAATTACCTAAAAAAATAAATGGATGAAATGCTCCTTTTCAGGAAGGTTATTGTTGACGAACTTAGCAGCATGAATGCCAGAGTGATGACTAGGTTCTGTCAAAATTTCTTCTCTCAGTTTCATTTGTTTCTTTGCTTTGCCTTATGTGCTATACTGCCAAGCTTAAGAAAGAGCTTTCAATGATAGGGAAAATGAACAATTTTTCAAAAGAATTTGGAATGGACACTTTTATTGATACATAAGCACCAGAAAAACCACTTAGTGCTCAAAAATTTTATTTTGTAGCATAGCACAAACATACAATTAAGAGGAAGTGTAATGCCAATGAAACAACAAAACATTTACTAGTGTGTTTACAGCTGCATGTCATGTCATAAGTAGTTCATGAATGATTTGAATTGAATGACATTTTGGAAAGTTAAAAGTCCATCTGCAAAAAGATATTTTGAAAGTGATAAATTCCCTATAAATCTATTTTAAGAAGAACATATTGACATACTGCTTACATTGGTGCAGTTTAGGATATCCAAAGTGTGATTTTGGACAGCAATTCATTTTCATGAATGAATGCTGTGGTAAAATTCATATGTAACATTGCAACTAAAACCTTACACCCTAAAATATCAGATATATTCCTCCTGATAGCAGATGTAGAAAGAAACCAACAGTTTCGGTATATCTCAAGTTTCATCAATAGAATTTATTTCGTCTTAATAGAAGTAAACATGACTATGCCATTCTTTTCCTGAATGATGAGATGTATAAAAAAGGTGAGGCATTTACAGGGTCGTTTCTCAAAATACTGTATCTAAAATGCACACCCTGTACACCTTGCCGAAAAGTTTCATGAATTGTTCACAGACAATTGCAAACTTATTTCTAATGTAAAAAGGATGTTTTTAGAATTACCTGCTAGAGCAAAAGTCTTTAGAGAGATTGCAGTTGATATATTGTTGCCTTTAAATCCAGTTTTGAAAAAGTGAGGAATATGGTAGCGTGAGCTTGCTATTTTGGCGAGTAGTAGTAGTAGCGTTTTTAAGAGGTGGAGGTAGGGGGTGATTGCACAGAATGCCAAATACTGAAGTTTTTTTTATAGATTTCTTTGTGAAATGTTCTATCTTTATTCAGTTATTTCTGGTTTCAGTGAAGGGTGATTAACAGATTTTTACTTTCTGTATGCTTTCGTGGGCAGAAAATACAGTAAGGTTGGCCCTAATGACTAGTATTTTGTCAAAACCACAGATGCTGTCAATATTTTTTATGTTCTTCGATTAAAATGCTTAGGCGTTATTTAAAAAGGCATCTCTAAATAAGAGTCTCACATTTATAGCTTCATATTTCTCTCAAATACAAGCTTCCCTGGAGAAACAGAATCTAAATTTAGTAGCCTCTTTGTATGCATTTGATGTGATGTGATGAAAATGTGTCTCAATATTTACGTTGAAAAAGGTGTAGGTTCAAGCATTGTGAAAACATGTTTGATATCGTTACGAATCCTGTGAATCTCTATGTTTTAAATATGCACCTGTCCCACTGTCCCATCAGCAGATGATTGTTTTCCTGCCTCAGGGGCATTTTAACAGATACAACTTGTCAATGGAGAATCTGAAGAAAATGCCTGTGATATTGACACAAGTGAACAATGTGTTACATGGTGATATTCCTTTCTTATGTATCAAGGTAGGTAGGGAATCTTTTTTTTTTTTTTTTTTTTTTTTTTTTTTGCTGTTTGTTTAGGTAATTCTTGACCATGGTATTTATTATTCATTAGCATATTTTCTCTGGAATTCATGAAAAATACTAATATTTTAATGATATGTAGGAATATGTTTTTATGTACTTTGTTTATCGATATTAAGAAAACTTTATCTTTATCAGTGCTAGTTATAGTACATGAAGTGCGTTAATGAATTCACAACTTAACACAGTTAACATATTCATTTTTCCCAAACTATATTTTAAAGACATTTTTCTTTATCTATTTACCTACCGCTTTCAGCATTTTAGTTTGACACAACTGCCTGTCCTTATTCATAACATACTTAACAATACCACAGATTTTAAATAGCATTTAAATTCCTTAGAACATCATTTATAAATAAAACAGAAAAAATAGAAAAATTATACATTTTGTTATTTTTATGCAGTTTGAAGTCATTTGAATTTAGATTACACCACACCAGTTTGTTAATTTTGGTGACTTTGGGAGTGCATAAAACTTCTCAGTCATCTCACAGAGCCAATAAAATGATAATAATCTTTATTTAACTGAAATCATTTATTGGATGTAACACCTAACATCTTCCGAAAGGTAAATATTAAAAAAAAAAATATCATTCGAAATATATTATTTCATTATAATGTTACTCATAAAAACTTATCTGCTTAATATTATAGGTAACATTATAACAACAGAAGTAAAAAACACTACTTCATTAACCATTTAAAAATGTATATTTTGAGGGCACACGATATTTAAGAGCTGCATGGAATAATACGGCTCTGAGAAAGACGACAACCACGTTAGCTTTGGTTCAACCCCCCCTCCCAACTTATTTACATCTTCTCAAACGGAAGTGACGTCTGGCGAGCAACCGAGAGTGGGGAGCTCTGGGATAGATGAGAACCCAATGTCTAGGCGCTTGTGATCTTATGAGCTTAGGGGAACAGGCCCAACTAACCAACAAACGAGGAGCCAACGAGCCGGCCGTGTTCAAATCCTATCTTACACTCAGTTGTTATTTAATTTTAGATCTTTAAGTTAATTCATTTATTTAGTCTGACCTCCGGAAACCAAGCCCAAGCTCCGGGAAACTAAAAAGGTTAAAATAACGAAAACAGAACAAACAAAAGGGTACAAGAAAATGGTTGCAAGCCTAACCACTAACACCAAACATACACACACTAACTAAACTGAGGAAAATAATAATATACAATGTTAGTAAACAGCGAAAATAAAAAAGAACGGTACAGAACCTTTCATACCACATAAAGAACAAACAAGGCAGCGACACTAAGATTCAACCTTAGGGCCCAATTTTATTGTTTGATGTTGTCTTGTGATGTTCTGTTGTTTTATATATGCTAGTGTCTTTGTCATTTATTCCGCCTCTACACTATAAGAATATATAAATTGTAAAATTTTAATCTGTTTCCACAATTACAAAATGAGATTTTGTAAAGTCATTCTGACTAGCCCATTGAGATACGACAATGTAATTGCTTTGAAGATTTTATCACTACCCAATTGTACAAATAATTGTAAAGTTTTGTAAAACTGAAAATTTTAAGAAATACTTATTAATGATATTATAAATATGGCTACTGGGAACTAGTGTCCCAGTGGTTAAGTCGACAATGATCCTTCCGTACGGTATTGCACTATAAATCGGTAGTAGCTTGGTTCCCTAATTTTGGGATTTCTAGTTTACCCCTGTTAGATGGCTTACATTGATATTTAGTTTGCAGTTAGTGTTAGAGGGCTTATCTTAATTAGTTTTAATATTGTTTTTTGTTGGTGTCACTGAGTTAAGCGGCGGAATTTTGGCTTAAGCCTTCCTAGTTGAGAACAATTATGAAATGATTTTATTAATTCGTTGAAGCTCCCTTGGCGGTATATCCGTTACTGATCTCGTAAAAAAAGAGAAAAGAAAACATTGCTTTTATCTGAGAAATGACTAGAGAGTATAATACGCGTCGCCCGTCAAGAAAACCGTTGTCTTTCCCCCTCTGTAACAATGCAGTAATGTTACTTTTAATTAACTAAGAAAGATTACGTTAAGTTTTTAAATAAATCTAAAAAAGGCAATCGGTCTCAGTTTTTCCATCCGGAAGCTCGGCGACGTTACAAAGCTGTCTTGCTTTCCAGTATCTTGAATGTTTTATACCAGTACTGAATAATTTCCTTTTACTTTTCATATGTCATATATCATATGGGCTTGTACAACGTATATCTAGTAAGCTTTTTAATCATTGATATTAATTTTT